GTTGTTCCCACTTTTTTGAATATATAAGAACCTGATTACAAATTCGTGTACCTTCTTTTTCTAAGTATTCAATCATCGGGTCTAAGTTTTTCATAATGGGAGGTCTAATTAATACACAAAGATCATCTGCAAATAGATGACATGAATGAGCTCCCAGGTAATTTGTTAGATCTGAATGAAACACTATAAATAAGTATGGACTAAGACTACTGCCCTGTGGAAGTCCTATATTTATCTTAAATATTTTCGAAGTTATTTCACCATATTCTACGTAAGCTCTTCTATCTTTTAACCAACTATCAATCATTTTCAGTAAGTTGAGAGGCATACCCAGTCTATCTAGTTTACACAGAAGAGCAGCATGCCATACACGATCATAAGCCTTTTGGTAATCGACATAAAGCGCTAGTGTCGGAATATTGGCTGCCATGTTATTTTTGACTTCCTGATATATTGACAGAACGCGAGTAGGTAGAAGACATTTTGGACGGAACCCCGATTGTTCTACGGGTACTAAACGATTTGTTTCAGCCCAGTGTCTAATTCTTAGTAAGAGCACTTTTTCGAACAGCTTAGAATGTGTAGCTAACAAGGATATCGGACGAGTTTGTTCACACTTTGGGATACCTGATTTCAACTTATTTAAGGTTATAATTTTTGCAATTTTCCAGTCATCTGGATAACGACACTCGTTTAACCATGCATTAAAGCAATTTGCTAAGCACTCGATGTAACTTGGAGGAAGTTTTTTAATTATGAAGTTTGACACCAAATCAAAACCTGCTGACTTCTTAGGCTTTAATGTTTTAATTAATCGTGAGATTTCCCAAACACTAGTTTTTTCGACTTTATCTTTTGATATTGTTAATTTATTTAAAAACTCTTTATATTCAATGTCTACCTGAGTTTCATGTATATTATAACAATCCAGAGCGGATGCTTTAAACTGTTCACTGTAATACTGATATAGTTCGTTTGTGATTTCTTGTTGAGTTGATATTATTTTAGAGCCATCCGAAAGTTTATAAAAAGGCAGCGAACGCGATTTGTGAATGCGAGATAAGTGTGTCCAAAACGCTTTATCTGATTTATCATAAGACGTTTGAATGTTAACCAAAAAATTTTGCCATCGAGCATTTTTGTATTTAGCAACTTCGACTTTGGTCTCTCTCGTCATTGTACGTAATAGCACCCTCGCTTCCTCATTAAAAACTCCCTTATGTCTTAAATGATAGTATCTATTTCTCACTTTTCGTATTTCTTTTAATTTTTCGATGATATACTCCGGTAATGATGGTTTATATTTATCTCTCTCTTTCCAATGAGTCACTCTATTTTTGACAGCCGCGATGAAACGAATATATTGTTTGTACCACTCATCAGCACTATTTTTCTTTTGTTCTCTCATCCAGAATGTTTGTAATAGCGTTATTACTGCTTCAAATGCCTTCCAATTTGTATGAGGAAAGAAACTGTTTATATCGAAAAAAATGTTCTCACACGATAACACAATCGGCCAATGATCACTAGTGCCAAAAAACAATGTTTCGCTTGAAATAGTACTCATATTAGAGAACGACAAATCTATATTACGTAGAGAGCGCTTAGATGAGTTGGACGTTGCTGGGATATAATTGAGATTATTTTCATTAATCCATTCTTTCACGTGCGCACCTCTTCTATCAGTTATGGACTATTCCATTCCTTGACTGTTGCATTAAAGTCACCTGATAGTATGGTACCCTCTACGACATAAGGCAAGATATCATCAAGATCACGCTGTTGACTAGTGGGCCAGTAAATACCAATGATACGTACTGGTTCTGATAGACCTGTTATATCAATGACAACTGTGTTCGGAATGTTAACCTCGATGCGTGTCGCTTTCAGATGCTTCCCTACTGCTATACATACTCCTCCATTCTTGTTAGTACCCTTTTGATAGAACGTGTTAAAATGTGGTAATCGACTCATGTTCCATAACTCACCCACTTCTGTAAATATACCAATAGAAGCTTGAATTTGATATACTAAATCAATAGCTTCAAGCGCACGCGTACCCCAACCTTCGACATTATAACATAGGATCTTAATATGTTCTTTTTGGATTTGTGAAGGAGCTATTCCAACATTTCCCCATTGTTCTAAGACTGTGTTCAAGGTTCTACCCGTGTACCATTCATCTAAAAGAGATAATACTAATTTCTGATCTTTAGGTGCAAAATTCCAAGTTTTCAGCCTGAGCATAGCTTCATCTATAGGACTAAATGAATAATTCTCTGAAGCAGGAAGGAAAACTTTAGCGTGTACATTAAGATCTGACGTACTACTTATCATTCTGTGATGATTTGTGAACTGATGCAGAGTGTTGATCAATGTTAGTATTATGCACAAACAGTTCAACTTGCTGATTTAATTGATTTAATTGGAAACCATTTATTAATCTTGAGGACGCGACATGAAGGCGCTTGTAGTATTCGCTCGTGACATGTACCAACGATGATCTTTCAACTTTGCTAGCAGTTAACGATGCTGGTATAACATATTGCATGAAGTCTTTCATAATATTGATAGTATCTGCTAAGACTGCTTGATGTAGCTGAATATCGAGAGTAACGGTTTTTATACTTGATGATACTAGATCAACTTTATTTTCAAGCCGTTTGTTACTATCGATTAGTTTTGTCAGATTATCATTGATGGATTCAATTGTTTTATCAGTATATGATGCTCGTAAATTATTCGACTTAACTGTTGTACGTGGTAACGCCGTATTCCATTTTTTATTAGAATGATTATCACTTGCTGCTAATGGTGGAAAGTCTTGCTCTCGACGTTCAAATGTAGGTGCTTTCTCTTGCGGTGAGAATCGCTGTAATAGTCCTTTTTGTATGGCATCTTCGACATCTTCCTTTAATTGATCTTTATATTCTTTTAAAACTTGACATTGACTATCCAACGAATGATGATCTCCATCACATTGAGCACATTTCGGTACATTTTTACACATATGTGGAGTATTCACATTCAGACTTTCAAGACAAATACGACATTTGCTTTCTGAGTTGCATTTGTTCCTTAAATGACCAATACGCCAACAATTTGTGCAGTAAGTTAAACGATTTCCCGGATAAAACTTGGTGATCGATAACCACGAATGACCTATTGCAATTCGACCCAGTTGCAACACAGCATTATATTCACCATAATCTTTCACTTCGAATCGATAATCATCTGTTCTTCTTTGGTATGAATAATGAATACGTTTAATACGATCTGCAGAAGCAATTGTTCGCTGAATTTCATTTGAAACAAAATTTTCATCTAATTCCCTAGGTACATAACGGACGACGAGAGCGAATGAATCAGGTATATGTTTTGGTTTCACGACCACAATATCAATTCCATTTATCTTTGTTGGCCATTTATCCGAACTGACGAGAGTAGCGTAATCTTCTTTATTATTAACACCTAACTTTAGCTTTTTTCCTGCCCATCCTACTAATGTAAATCTATTGATTAAAACACCATTGGTTTGCAGTTCTTTCAGTATAAGATCACTTGCATGAAGAGCTGTTGGAATACTATTACGATTCGCATCCGAGGTGAATTCAATAA